CATGTCTTCTCCATATTTTAGCGCTTGAAGGTTTTGCATGGGGTATACTTTTCTGAGGGCAAGTATTGAAGCACATTATAAAACTATCGCAGTGATCATTCCAGTGGCCAGGTGACAAATACTCTGCACTGAACTTTTCAGTTGACATTATTTCTTAAAGGGTTTAGGGGCAGAAGCAAACTTCTCCTGTGCCCACTGACCCTATACTTCAGTTCTTAGTCTTTAAACTTCTGCTAACCTGGCATTTGTTTGTTTTCATCTTCGTTTTGCATAAATAAGCTCACAATAATAGACTGACCAGCTTCATTGTTTCTTGGGCCTGGCCTTTGGATTCTTCACGCCCATTTGATGATGATGTGAATATAACAAGTGCTTTACATAGATTATTTCATTACCACCTCACAACACCCCATGAAGTAGGTCCTACAGGTATTTACCCCCAGACGAGGAAATAGGCTGAGATTCAGTCATTTACTTGTGATCATATAGCTAGTAAGGGGCAGCTAGGTGGCGCAGTGGATAGAGCACTGGCCCTGAAGTCAGGAGAGCCTGAGTTCAAATCCCGGCCTTAGACCAAACACTTGACACTTACTAGCCGTGTGACCCTGGTCAAATCACTTAACCCCAATTGCCTTTAAAAAAAAAAAGATCACGGATTGAATTTGAACTCAAATATTTAATCAACAAATAAAGAATGGAAAATCTGAGTTTACCCTATTATGTTAACAGAGGAAGAAATAGCTTGCTAAATTGATGAGTAGAATATAAAAACCTTCGCGGCCCGTCTTTTGGGGGTACCCAAACCCAAATAGTCTAAATTCTAAGTCTTTCACCTGTATATGAATGTAATTTAGAAAGTTAGATCGGCCCAGGGAAAACTGAACTACTTAGAAGCCTGCCAGGTTGGCCAAATTGCAGCAGCTGCTCTGATATTTGCAAGTTTCCCCTTTACCTCCAAACTCTGAAAGATGTTAGTTTCAAGTCAAGTACCTGAGTCTTTGATAACAGACAAGTAATGAGTTGATCGTGGTGAGTCTAATATTTTTATTGTTGTTAAGTCGTTTCTCAGTTGTCTGACTCTTGGTGACCTCATTTGGGGTTTTCTTAGCAAAGATACCAGAGTTGTTTGCGATTTCCTTCTCTAGCTCGTTTTACGGATGAGGAAACTGAGGCAAACAGGGTGAAATGACTTGCCCAGTTTTACACAGCCAGTAAGTGTCTGAGATGAGATTTGAACTCAGGGAGATGAGTCTTCCTGACTTCAGGCTCTATGCACTATGGCACCACCTAGCTGCCCTGAGTCTAATATTTCTGTGTTCTTTAATAATTGCTATTCTAAATAACTTACTTGGAGCACAGTGACTGAGCAGTTTGTGTCTGAAGGGTATTTCATTTTGAAGTTTTAAACTTTCATCCATCCATTGAAAGCTGCCAAACTAGCTTGTGCCAACATATCATGATTTAGTCAATAAAGATTTTCTTTCTACTATGTAGAGTATTTTATATAAAAATCTTCACCCTCAATGAAAAACTGCTACAACATTTCATAATGTTCAGGCACCATCTCACATATGACTAGGGTGCTAGCACGTGTAGAGCCAGAAAGAAGGTGGGTCAAGACAGCCATAATTACTTACTGATCTTTTATGCCAGCGGAAGCTCTTGCACAGGCGTGGAGAACCTGCAGCCTTCAGGCCACATGTGGCCCTCTAGGCCCTCAAGTGCAGCCCTTTGACTGAATCCAAACTTCACAGAACAAATCCCCTTAATAAAAGGATTTGTTCTATAAAACTTGGTCTCAGTCAAAAGGCCACACCCAAGGACCTAGAGGGCCACATGTGGCCTTGAGGCTGCAGGCTGCCCACCCCTGCTCTAGCATCTGGATATAGTGTTGACTATCCTCACTGCCCCCAAAAGATGGACTGCAAAGGTTTATTAAATTCTGCCCATCACTTTAGCAAGCTATTTCTTCTTTTGTTAACATAATAGGGTAAATAGTCTTCAGATTTTCCATTCTTTATTTGTTAATTAAATTGTTGTCATTTAAGTTTACAAATCTAGGAGAAAAATCACAAAATGTACTGCATGCTTGAGTTAAAAAAATCAGCTACATGAAGAGAGGGAAGGGGAGGCGTGGTTAGACAATAGGTCCTGGGCACAAGAGCCGGAGGTTGTAGAAAACAGTCTTAATTCAACATGAGTTACCAGTGTGACACGACAGCCAGAAAAATTGCCAGTTTCTTAAATTGCATTAAGAAGGGCATTATGTTCACAATGAAAGAGCTGATACGCCCACTGCGCTCCACCCTGGTCCCACCACATCTGGAGCATGTGTTCAGTTCTGGGCACCACATTTGAAGAGAGACGTTGCCAAGTCAAGTACATCCATTCGTGCATGGTAAGGGCGAGGAGACCATGCCGTAGAAGGAACAGCTGAGGGAGCTTCAGCTGTTTGGCCTGCAGAAGGCTCAAGGGGAGAGAGCAGGCTCCCAAGTATTCTGAGGGTTACTGTGTGCCAGAAGGGTTGAGACTCGGCCTGTTTGGCCCCAGGCGGCAAAGCTAGGACTATTGGGTAGATGTCGCTCCGTGTAAAGAAACATTTCCCGACAATTAAGAGTTGTTCCAAGGTAGAATGGGCCACCTTCAGAAGATGCCCTTTACTACTGGTCTTTGAACAGTGACCGGATAATCATTCATTGGGAATTCCGGTTCAGGTGCTGATTGAAAGACATGATCTCTTGTAGTCCCAACTCTGTGGTTCTGCTTTTTTTGTGGTGATACTGTGAAAAGAAACAATTTCTATATCTTAAAGCAGATAAAGGATCTTTAAAATTCCCCCCTAATATTGCTCTTAGGTTAAACTTTTATGAAAATTTCAACAGAGCATAAAGGGATTTAGCAGGGCACTTCCTATTAACACTAATAACAAATCAGTGTATATCTTGGCACATTTTAAACTCCAAAACATAAGTTTCTGTGATGCAATAAAGAACTTATATTTAACTCTTGGTGCTGCAAGTCGTAATCTCAGTAGTCTGGCTTCTTTATACACTTTCTCCAGTGACGCAAGTCCAGACGGGATTTTCTGGAACATCAGCCTTATGGCTGCCTTCTCTCCCCCTCTTTACTTACCTTGGACACGCTACAGTTGTTGCATGCCAAAAAAAATCCCACAGCTCAGTATACTTAGGTTTTGAGGTCACTCATGTCCTCCTTAGACCACCAGTAGCTCCGTCCTTTGGAAATCAGAAATGGGACTCTTTTCTTTTGGATGTTTAACAAGCCAGGCAGTGTTTCTCGACCTCTGAAGCAGAATAGGGTACAAGAACACATTTTCTGGGCAGCATTAGTGGCAGCTGAAAATGTCCTGCCTTCTGGAGGCAGATGCTCCATAGGTATTCTTGGGAATCATGCATTATGTCTTTAGTGTAAAGGTGATGATCGTGATGGAGTCTCTAGCAGGACAGATGCTGAAAAGGTAGTTTGTCTTTTTTCCTCTAACCTTTACCATATCAAGTTTGGACCAACGTTCTTCCATAGTCCACGCACATCTCTACTGAACTGGCTTTCCACCAGTTCTGGGAAACATGTTAATATGAAGTGCTTATGAATCCAAGCTCCTTAATCTGTCAATCCCTATCTCTACTTTCATTCCCTTTGCCATGTTTTAGGAAACATTCTTTCCCTTTTTCTCCTTCCCCCTCCCTTTCTGTTTTCTTGGACTCATGTCTTGTTTGTATAACCTTTCCAGTGATAGCCTGTGGATTATGCTAAAGTCAAATTAAAGCAAGCAGTTGGATTTGTAGAAAGCCGTCATATCATCAGGCCAAGGTTAAAGACGCTGAGAAGTCTCTTTTTAAAAATACGGAGTTAACTTACATCTTACAGTTCTTCTGTTAGCCCTCCAGTGTTCCTACTAATATATTTGAATGTTAAGTTTGACATTCTAAAGGTGCCAGACTTACCAGATTGCAAGACAAGTTCTCTCATTCACAGAATAGCTGTGTGATGGCTGATGACCTTGGTGCACTCCTAACACCCTCCTCAAATAATGGATTGTCCCACTACTGATAATGGGTCATTAAAATCACAGTGATAGACCTAAGGCTTAGGAGTTTGAAGAAGTTGCTAATTATCCAGGTTCTTGGTCATCATGTCTAAAATTGAAGGGACTTAATGTAAAACATCTCCAGCAGACAATGTTTTCATTCCCTCTTGACTTAGATTTCTTTTCAACCCATCATGGAAAAGCATAGCTTGGTATATCAAAAGCAGGGCTCAGAGTCAGGAAAAACCATGTTAAAGTTTTGCTTCTGATGCATACTAGTTCTGTGACCCTGGGCAAGTCATTTCCCCCCTTCAGTTCCCTAAAACACTTACATTGCATATCAGGTGTCTATCAGGCTCCTCATTGGAACTCCTTTACATGGATGAAATCATAGGTCTAATTAAAAGAAAAAAATAAATAGAGAAGTCACCCTTAATGATTCTCCAGTCAGACATTTTCAATTTCAGCTGGATATGATGAATAGTGGCAACATTTGTTATCCTGTGATTTAATAATGTGAATTATCATTCATCTAATGGTGGTGTACCTAAGGAAGAACCCGGACTCTGCAAAAACAAGGTAGACAATGATTCATAGATAGTCTCAGAAGGCATTTAAGTACCCATCAGTGCCTTGGTTTATACAAGTGGATCTTAACTTTTTTAGGGTTTTTGCGGTCTGGCCAAATGGATCTATGGAGCCCTTCTCAAAATAAGGTTTTAAAATGTATTAAAAAATACACAAGATTATGAAGGAAACCAATTATATTGAAATACAGTTATTGCAATCTTTAAACAAAAATAGTTCACAGTCCCCCTGGTTTTATGTAGTTTATTTTTTACAAAGGATAGCTCTGAAGATCACGTATGGAGTGGGTAGCCTAGGTGAGGTGGTAAATTGTGTAAGTAGACATTTCTGATGTTTGTATTTTCTCCATGTTTCTTTGGTTCAGGGTGTTCCTGTGATGGCAATAAGAAACAAAATGATATCTGAAGGACTGGACCCAGATCTTCTTGAGTAAGTAACTCTTCCTACAGAATGCTAATTAGCTTCTTATTTATGAAGTGGATTTATCCAAGGCAATGAAAAAAGTTTCATTTCTTTGTTGATTTTTTATGGATGAATAAGCTTCCTTTATAAATTGTCCCTTCCACTTCCACTTGTGGGACAAACCGCTGTGTTAAATGATCAGTTAAACCAACCTTAATCATCTAGGGAAGAGTTTGAGGAATTTGTTGATAAACATAGCTGTTAACAGCCAGTGGATTTTCCAAAGGCAAGGCAGCATTAGGAAGGGGAGGGTAGTGTAGAAGAACAAGCTGCTATTTTTCTCCTTAGCTCCTTTCTTTTGGTTTCCATGATACTTGGAAATTTCTCATTGAAGACCTTAGAGTGCTAAAACTTTGAGTTTTACCAAATCTTTGGTTGAACCAAATTAAGAAATAACGGGATTAGTTTGACTGGGTCTCCATAACAGCGATTAACAAACAGAAAACAGGTGCTGGCTTGTATGAGTTTTACAAAACACATATTTGTTTTCAGAGGTGTGAAAATGTGTGGTTTAAAAGTTTTAACAAGATTCTCTTCTGGTTGGTCAGCCAAACACTTATTTTTTTAAAATTAATTTATTTATTTTTAGTTTTCAACAATCACTTCCATAAGCTTTTGAGTTTTTAATTTTCTCCCCCTCCCTCCTCACCTCCTTCCCTAAGACATCATGCAATCTGATATAGGTTTTACATATACATTTCTATTAAACCTATTTTCACATTAGTCATGTTGTAAAGAAGAATTAGAACCAATAGGAAGAACCACAAGAAAGAAGAAACAAAACAAAACAGAAGAAAAAAAAGAGCAAGTAGTATTCTTCTATCTGCATTCAAACTCCATAGTTCTTTCTCTGGATGTGGATAGCATTTTCCATCATGAGGCCTTTGGAGTTGTCTTAGATCCTTGCATTGCTGAAAGAGCTAAGTTTATCAAAGTTAGTCGTCGCACAGCATGGCTGTTACTGTGTTCAGTGTTCTCCTAATTGTGCTCACTTCACTCAGCATCAGTCCATACAAGTCTTTCCGCTTGCTCATCATTTCTTATGGCACAATACTATTCCATCACATTCATATATCACAACTTGTTTAGCCATTCCCCAACTGATGGGCATCCCCTCAATTTCCAATTCTTTGCCACCACAAAAAGAGCTGCTATAAATATTTTTATGCATGTGAGTCCTTTTCCCATTTTTGTGATCTCTTTGGGATACAGCCCTAGAAGCGCTATTGCTGGGTCAAAGGGTATGCACATTTTTATAGCCCTTTGGGCATAGTTCCAAATTGCTCTCCAAAATGTTTGGATCAGTTCACAACCCCACCAACAATGCATTAGTGCAGTCAAGTACTTATTAAGAGTCTACTGTGTATCAAGCACTGTGCTAAGCACAGTGGGGGATACCAAGAAAGGGTAAAGACAGTCCCTGCCCTTATCAAGTCTGCTGTTTAGTTCAAAGGAACCTGGTGACTGCTCCACCTTAGGCCCATATACCTCATTGGCCACTTCAGAGCTGCTCTGAATTCTTGTACAGAGGCTTTCCAGTTCTGATTCATCCTCGTGTTCTGAACTATTTAGTTGCCATCATTCATCATTCATCATCATTATATCCTGCTGTAGCTGTAGACCTTGCAATTTTGCATGGCTCTCAACTTTACAGGAGGCAGGTGCAAATGCTTTAAAAACAAATACAAACATCCGAATTCTCTGTTATTTCTACCCGCCAAAATGTGAAATGGAAGGCTCAGAAAAAAGTCTACATGTTTGGCTCCCTGATCGCAACATTTTCCAGATAACACACAGTTCAAACACTGGCATGTCTCAGTAATTCAGTAATCAAAACTAATTCCATAGCTCCACTGAAGCATCACTTCAAATATGTAACATCTGTTCTTGGATCTGTGTCTGATGTACACTTTTAAAGTTGTAGAGGCAGCCAGTGACATAATGGACAGAGCACCAGACCTGACGTCAGAAAGATCTGAGTTCATATTCAGTCTCAAAAACTTAGTAGTTGTGGGACGCTGGACAAGTCCCATAACTGCTGTCTACCTCAGTTTCCTCAACTGTAAAATGGGAATAATACGAGCTAGCACCTGCTTCCCAGGATTGTAGCGAGGAGCAAATGAGATAATACTTGTAAAAAAAAAAATAAATAAAAAGTACTTACCATAATGCCAAGCACATAGTAGGTCCTTTATAACACCCTTTTCCCCTTCCCTTCCCCATGTTGGATTCATGTGCACATTAAATGTGAGTTGAAAGCATCTCCAAGCTCTAGTTGGCAGTCATAAAAATATATTTTAAGATACCACTTCATACAGTGGATTCAGTAATGGCCATGCCTTCCAGCGTTTTAGCCTCTGCTACCCAGTGGGCCCTCATTAACAGCAGGTGTTATACATGCCTCCTTAAGGCATAAGATCTGTGCAAAGAATAATAATGGTGTAACAATATATAATAAATAATATAAATAATCGATATAATATAAATAGCATAACATATATAATATATAACAATATTAATAATAATAACTTATTTTCCCCATAAATTGATACTCTAAAAAATCTTTCATCCAACAATTATTTGAGTGCTTATTCCATGCAGGTTTCTTTCAGGTAAGGTTTTTGTGTATCTGAGCTTGAAGCGGATGTGTGTCAGCAAACTGCAATTTAGGCAAACTTTACCAGTTTTCTTTTGTTAATCCTTGTAACAAACTCATGTAAAGTGCCCACTGTGTGCAGTACATTCTGCTACTTGCTAAAGGAGGTACAGAGGGAAATAAATCATGGTTCCTGCCTTCAAGGGGCTTAGCTACAACCCAGTGTGTTTTGATTAAGGGAAGGGAAGATCCAGCTAACTTAATGAAAGTTCTGAATGTAATAATAGTGGCCCTTTCTATCTTTGACCTCCTTAAGGTCAGTGAGGTCAATCCTGCATAATCTTGCACTGAGTCAAGGGTATGAAGAGTTTAGTTACTTTATTGTTTTCGATAACAGGACTGCCTTGCAACGCCACTAGTGGTACACCAATATGCTTGCCTTCCCACAACTCCTTGGAATTAAGGTTCTGTTTTTGTCCCCTTTGCCTATTTGCTAGATGTGAAGTGAAACCCTCGGAGTTGTTTTAATTTGCATTTTTATTATTAGTGATTTGGAGCATGTTTTCACATACTTTTTGAGAGCTTGGCAATTTTTTTTTGAAAACATACTTTTTACCTAATTCAATCAACAAGCATCCATTAAATGTCCACGGTGTGCTGGGCACTAGATACAAAGACAAAAATGTAATGATCCTGCTCTGAAACAGCTTACATTCTAGCAAGAGAGACACTATATACACATACATAAGCATGCGCAGAACAAAGACAAACTAGTACAAGGTCATCAGGGAGGGAAGGAAGACACTTGCATCTGGGATCAGGGAAGGCTTTGTGGCAGAGTTGGTGCTTGAGATGCGTCTTGAAGGAAGAGAGAGATTCCATGAGGGTGGAGAAAAGAGAGAGTGCGTCCCAGGAATGGGAGCAGGGGGCAGTGCCAAGGCATAAAGATGGAGGTGAGGGGTGGGGGGAGAACAACGAGAAGGCCAGTTTGGCTGGACCATAGAGTGCAGAAAAGGGAGTAACATGCAGTGAGACCGGAAATATAGGTTGAGTCTAAGCATGGAGGACTTTAAAGGTATTACAGAGGAGTTTGCATTTTTGTTTTTATCTTAGAAGCAAAGGGGAATCTTTGGAGTATATTGACCAGGGAGAGTGACATAGTCAGATCTGTGCTTAAGGAAAATCACTCTGACATGGAGTATCCTCTGTGTGGAGGAGAGAATGGAACGGAGAGAGGCTCGGAGCAGGGAAACCATTGAGGAGGCCATCGAAATAGTTTAGATGGGAGGCAATGAGATTCTGAACTCAAGTCCCATCTGTGTGAGGAGAGAGATACTGTGAAGGCAGAAAGGGCAAGAGCTGGCAGCTGATGGGCTGTGTGAGTTGAGGGAGGTTAAGGAGTCATGATGCCGAGGTCATGAACCTGGAGATGGGGAAGATGGCATTGTCATTGACAGAAATTGGGAAAAGAGGTGGGTTTGGGGTGGGGGAAATAATGAGTTCTCCTTTACACATCTTGAATACCAGATAAATGGTACAAAAATATCTTTACGAAGATAAATTTGAATCCAATTCCCACCCAAATTTGTATTATCTTGTTGTGAGAATCAAACGAGATAATGCATTAAAACACTTTGAAACTATTCACCATATAGATAAAGGTAAGGTATCGTCGTAAGAAAAAAGTTGTGAATTAGTGTAGTTCTTACTGTGCCTTTTGACAAGAGTTGTTTTTTAAAATGTGACTGGAATCGATGTGTCATGATGTTTCTTATTTGCTGACTTTATTATTTTTTTTTGCTAGTTTTTGATCAAGATTAGATGAACTGTGGTAGTAAAAAACCTTGCAGAGAGAGGAACTTTCTTCTGGATAATGTGCTATTATATACATCTATAAATGCATTTAGGAGTAGGGCAGTTGGATTGATCCATGGATTCCAAGCCAGGAAAGAAAAAATCCTCCCCTTGGTGTGTTCATAGGCATGTCAATGACTGAGAAAATTGGGAAACATTGGGTAGGAAGATGATTGCCAAGGTTTTGGGGTCGAATTCCAGTAACCATTTAGCTTTTCATAGAGGAAAAACTGTTATTCAACCACAGTCGACAACCTCAGTCTGGCTAGCTCTCTCACAAATACATGCCATTTGTCACAAGGGGGTTTGGGTGAGAGAAGGTGGATAGCTCAGTGCATCTCATCACTACTAGAAAAGCCACTCAAAGTACATTGCACAACTAGATGTGATGATAAATGGACTCCAACTTTATATTGATGGAGCAGCTCTGACAGTTGGTAAATCATTTTTACAGAAAAGTTAAAGACCTTCCTTTTGGCAAAGAAGGAGAGATGATGAAGGATCAGCACCATGTGCC